GGGAGGGGGTTACTGAGTTCTGAGTGATTTGCTTAGGCTTACGATTCAACACAGGAAGGGAGGGGGTGAGTAGCTCAAATGTGTTGTTAGCATGTTAGCAGAGCAATGCTACTCTGAACCGAGGAGTTATTTTCTTGATGTGAACTTCTACTCAGGGTTTTTTCTTCCAGTTCAGAGCAGAAATGCTTTTGTTAAGAAAATGGCTGTTGTCCCCCCACCCAATTTTAATTATAAGCTAAATATATTTCTACTAATGTAATTAGTTTGCTAACAGCAACAGGGATGAGTCAGTGAGTCAGTTGGGCTTGTGAATCATGATTCACGAGTCAGTAAAGTGATTCTCGAGTATTGAACGATTCGTTCACGAATCGAACATCACTAGTGTGTGTGTATTTTTGTCCTAGATTGTCTGACGCAGCAGTTAGGGGCAAACTCTATGTCCAAGTTTGTCTTTGCACAAGCAGTGCAGAAATGGCTCCGATACGCCCCAGATCGTTTGGGTGGTGCAGGACGCACATCATGCATCCCCATCCCTGAGTAAAAAATTACAAACTTCTGTGAAACATATAAATGTAAATCGGAAACTGTCTTTTAATAAAGTATTTAGCAAACGAAACATACCTATTGACCTTTTTTGTTTATTATTTATTGCGGATCATCTATACGGATGTGGCGGTTAACTGAACCGTGTTTCCCCAGGTGTTAGTTAGCCCTTTTATGATTACTGCGTTTGGGATTTTAATTGCCTCTTTAAGTACTACGTCCATTTTGTCAAACTAGGTTTTGATTGTTTCTTATCGTTGTAATACTTAATAAGATGAGTTTCATGCAGTTTCAAATCAAATCAAATCACTTTTATTGTCACATCACATGTGCAGGCACACTGGCACAGCACATGCGAGTGAAATTCTTGTGTGCGAGCCCCACAAGCAACAGAGATGTGCAAACACAACAACACAAACGGGCAAAATACAAGAATGGCCAACCTGAAACTAATAAATATATGTACAATATATAATAGTGTATGCATTTCTGGATGTGTATACTAAATATTTTCCTACGTGTGTGTGTGTGTGTGTGTGTGTGTGTGTATACACATTTTTACAAATTAAATAGTAAAAAAAATAAAAAAATAAATAAATAATAATGATAATAATAATAAAATATAAAAATATACAGAGTTGAATATGTGCAAAACAAGTGGCATTTATATACAGTGTGGAGTGCATAATGTTGAAGTTCCAGTAGTGAAGCTGAGGTGTCTATGACGTGTTCAGCAGTCTGATGGCCTGATGGAAAAAGCTGTCTCTCAGTCTGCTGGTACGGGACCGGATGCTGCAGAACCTCCTTCCTGATGGAAGCAGTCTGAACAGTTTATGGCTGGGGTGACTGGAGTCCTTGATGATCCTCCCCGCTTTCCTCAGGCAGCGCTTCCTGTAGATGTCTTGGAGGGAGGGAAGCTCACCTCCAATTATCTGTTCAGAACACCGCACTACTCGCTGGAGAGCTTTGCAGTTGTAGGCGGTGCTGTTGCCATACCAGGTGGTGATGCATCCAGTGAGGATGCTCTCAATGGCACAGTGATAGAAGGTCCTGAGGATGCGGGGGCTCATGCCGAATCTTTTCAGTCTCCTGAGAAAGAAGAGGCGCTGCTGCGCCTTCTTCACTGTTTTGTTTGTGTGTACTGACCACGTAAGATCCTCAGCCAGATGTACTCCAAGGAACCGGAAGCTACTCACTCTCTCCACAGCAGCGCCGTTGATGGTGATGGGGGTGTGTACTTCTCTGCACCTCCGGAAGTCCACTATCAACTCCTTTGTCTTTGCGACGTTGAGGGTGAGATGGTTGTCTTGACACCAGTGGGTCAGGGCGCTGACCTCCTCCCTGTAAGCCGTCTCATCACCGTTGGTGATAAGACCCACCACTGTAGTGTCGTCCGCAAACTTCACAATGATGTTGGAGCTGTTAGTGGCTGTGCAGTCGTAGGTGTAGAGTGAGTACAGGAGAGGGCTCAGTACACACCCCTGTGGAGCACCAGTGTTCAGTGTGATGGAGGATGAGGTGATGCTGCCCAGTCTGACCACCTGGCGTCTGTCAGACAGGAAGCTAAGGATCCAGCTGCAGAGGGAGCTGCTCAGTCCTAGATCCTGCAGTTTCCTGTCCAGCTTCGAGGGAACGATGGTATTGAATGCTGAGCTGTAATCTACAAACAGCATTCTCACATACGTGTCTCTCTTCTCCAGGTGTGACAGGGCAGTGTGTAGTGTCAGGGCTATGGCATCATCAGTGGTCCTGTTGTGGCGGTATGCAAACTGTAGAGGGTCCAGTGAGTCGGGTAGTGCAGAGCAGATGAAGTCCCTGACCAGCTTCTCAAAGCATTTGCTTACGATGGGGGTCAGGGCTACAGGTCGCCAGTCATTCAATGAGGAGATGGTGGAGGATTTCACAATAACTCCTGGCTGGCTCGCCAACTTGTAATACTGATGTGCGTGTTTCGAATACTCCCAGATCAAAAAAAAGAGTATGTCACCCAAATTTGACACCAAAGAGCTCAAAGATTTGGCCCAGTGGGTTCGGCTACGTACAGGAGAGGCGAACTGAATGAGACTCAGACAACCGCGAGTTTTGAAAAATAACCAGAATACTTTATTAATCCCTAAGGAAATAATGTGGATTACAGTTATTCTAGGAGAAATTCTAAAAATAGCAACAGTGACAGACTAAACTCCAAACAATACATTGTTAGAGATTTTACACATTTAGGAAATAGCACTAATATATAAAGATCAATCAATTATAAATATCAAGGATTAACAGAAGGGATAATAAATAAATATCAAGAAAATTGACAAGAATATTACAGAGTAGAAAAGAGCTTATGTAAAAAGGGTGTAACTTTTGCAGTGTTTACAGTGTGTTGGATGGAGGAGTTGTACAGGGAGATGGCCACAGGCAGGAATGACTTCCTGTGTTGTTTGTTTTTTTCTGTTAATCTCAAGCTGTGTCCCAAAACGTTGGCTGCATCCTTCGGAGGACCCAGCCTTCGCGGTCTACGTGGGCTGGGTCCTTCAAAGACCGAGAAGGCCAGAAGTGCGAGGCTGTGAAATGGGATGGTCTAGCCTTCAGATTTGCGTCACCACTGTCTTGGTGGAGTTTAATAAACTCAGCCGTCTGCTCCTTGCTATCTAAAATATAACAGGACACAGACGTAAATTCTCGACCATCTCACACTTATGTTTAATCAGTTTTCTGTTTAACATTTATTCAGCTGTGTGAAAATCCCAGAGGAACCCACTCGATGGATTAATAAAGTTTTATTTAATCTAATAATCTAATAACTTTGATCGCAGCCAAACCGATTTACTCCAGAACAAATAAAACACCCAAAAAAGGCAAAAAATTACATTTTTAAGTTATCTGAGTGACTTATATCATGTTTAACCTGAGTAGCAAAAGAGCGTGGGTCTGAAAACGATAAAGCCGGGAGTCCGCTGCTCTTGCCGGCTGGAGTGACCATTGAACCCCCCGGCTTGCTATCGAGCTGGTGGGTAACAGACATCTCCGAAAACGTCGGCACACTTTTGCAAATATGTAATGTCTTGATAAACCAACCAGATATTTGTAAATTACACAGCTACTTTCTCGCCTTAAAACATGTTAAAAGTTTATTTTGTGGCCCAGAAAGATTAATAAGAGTAATTTTCAAACTTAGTAGCGGCCGCCATGGCCGCATTATTGTCAGCTGAAATTTGACTGGGCCGCGCTATGAATTCTGGGTTATGGTTTGCCACGAAGCACACATCCGACCCATCCTTCAAATTCGGGGAAATGAAAGACGCATTTGTCAGCTGCATTTGAAGGAGTCGACGAATTGGGACAGCCTTCGTCGCCTGGCTGTGATGTAATCGGCCTTCAAATGCGGCCTCCGGAGGATGCTGCCGACGTTTTGGGACACAGCTTCAGTCTCTCACTGAAGCTGTGTCATGGAGTGGGTGGGAAGTATTATCCATGACTGTCTTTATCTTGAACAACATCTGCCTTCAGACACCACCCTAACGGAGTCCAACATTACTGGCCTTGTGGATCAGTTTATTTAGTCTGTTGGCATCTGTGACCCTCAACCTGCTGCCCCAGCTTGCAACAGCATAGAGCAGTGGTCCCCAACCTTTTTTGCGCCACGCACCAGTTTATGGTAAATGGTAAATGGCCTGTATTTTATATAGCGCTTTACTAGTCCCTAAGGACCCCAAAGCGCTTTACACATCCAGTCATCCACCCATTCACACATACATTCACACACTGGTGATGGCAAGCTACATTGTAGCCACAGCCACCCTGGGGCGCACTGACAGAGGCGAGGCTGCCGGACACTGGCGCCACCGGGCCCTCTGACCACCACCAGTAGGCAACGGGTGAAGTGTCTTGCCCAAGGACACAACGACCAAGACTGTCCAAGCCGGGGCTCGAACCAGCAACCTTCCGATTACAAGGCGAACTCCCAACTCTTGAGCCACGATCGACTGCCCGACAATATTTTCACGGACCGGCCTTTAAGGTGTTGCGGATAAATACAACAAAATAAAACTAGTGCCGGTATTGAAAAACAGAAGATTTATTCATAACACACGTGGAAAGACCCAGGAAAACCGAGTTAACGATAAGAAAATAACGCTAAAAACCCTGAAAACCATACATTTCACACCTGAGCCTCAACTCTTGCGACCCGGTACCAAACGACTCACGGACCGGTACCGGTCCGAGGCCCGGGGGTTGGGAACCTCTGGCATAGAAGATAGCACTGACCTTATGCAATCTTGGACTTTGTTGTCATTGTCGGTTGTTGATTTGTCCTATTCTCATTGTCTGATGGATTATAATGGCTGTTTGTACAAAATTTGAAAACTATGCATACTCTCTCTCTTCATAGATAGATAGATGCGTGTGTTTATGTTTATCTGGCTAAATTCGATATGGTTCCAGCAACAGTTTTTACAGTAAGATATGTTTTATATGCATGTACAATCTTTAATATACATATATACACATGAAAACATACATATATGTTATCTGTGGGTGTGGGGCAGAGATGGTGTTCGCCCAGGGCACCAACCAGGCTAGGACTGCCACTGCTGACAAAACACAGAATGTGAAAAAGAGGGGAGGCATGATAACAGAACCTAAAGACTAGAAATGACAAATATTAGATCAAGCAGAAAAACAATTAAAAGAACATAAATAGAAATAAACATCAAATATTACAATATACAATACAATACGAAAGAAATTCCACAAATTCAATACACGCTACAATTGCAGTGTGAACAATCTGATTTTTTAAAATGTTTACATAGAATTGGCCGCATTTCAGCACTGACCAATAAAAAAATTAATTAACTCCAGTGTGGATTAGTTGATGATTTTTTAAAGTATCCATGCGACGAAAACCCTTTCCACACTGACAACAGACAAATGGTTTAATGCCAGTGTGGATGGCCTGATGTTCTTTCAAGGAACTCATGCAGCTAAAAGACTTTCCACACTGATCACAGCTGAATGGTTTCAATCCAATGTGGAGGAGATGATGTTTTTTTAAGTTTCTACGCCGAGTAAATGATTTTCCACACTGATCACAGCTGAATGGTTTAATTCCAGTGTGGATGAGCTGATGTTGTTTTAAATTTGTAATATGAGTAAAAGCCTTTCCACACTGACCACAGACAAATGATTTAATTCCAGTGTGGATGAGAAGATGATCTTTTAAGCTTTTACTATGAGTAAAAGACTTTCCACACAGATCACAGGTGAATGGTTTATCTGTAGTATGGATGAGCTGATGTTCTTTTAAACAGTTACTATGAGTAAAAAACTTTCCACACTGATCGCAGCTGAATGGTTTAAATCCAGTGTGGATGAGTTGATGTTTTTTTAAGCTGCCACTCTGAGTGAAAGTCTTTCCACACTGATCGCAGCTGAATGGTTTAATGCCAGTGTGGATGAGCTGATGTTGTTTTAAGTTGCCATTTTCAGTAAAAGCCTTTCCACATTGATCACAGCTAAATGGTTTTAATCCAGTGTGGATGAGTTGATGTTTTTTTAAGCTGCTATTCTGAGTGAAAGTCTTTCCACACTGATCGCAGCTGAATGGTTTAATGCCAGTGTGGATGAGTTGATGTTTTTTTAAGCTGCTATTCTGAGTGAAAGTCTTTCCACACTGATCGCAGCTGAATGGTTTAATGCCAGTGTGGACGAGCTGATGTTGTTTTAAGTTGCCATTTTCAGTAAAAGCCTTTCCACACTGATCACAGCTAAATGGTTTAAATCCAGTGTGGAGAAGCTGGTGTTTTTTTAACTTGCTATTTTGGTTGAAAGCCTGTCCACACTGCTCGCAGCTGAATGGTTTAATGCCAGTGTGGACGAGCTGATGTCTTTTTAAGTTGCCATTCTCGGTAAAAGCCTTTCCACACTGATTGCACATGAAGCTTCTGTCTCCACTGTCAATGCGCTGGCGTCTTCTGGCCTTCTTCATAGTGATGAAAGTCTTCTCCACAGGGATCACAACTCATTCATCTGTACTTGCTGGCATTGGTTGGTTTTTGTTGAGGTCATAAATTTGGAGAGGTTTCAGCACACTTCCCCTTCTTTTGCCTATGATGACAAAGAACTAAAACAGTGACATGCACTTCACAAAACCTATTTAGTGTACATATACATACATATATCTATACTAGGGCTGCCACAAACGATTATTTTGATAGTCGACTAGTCACCGATTATTTATGCGATTAGTCGACTAATCAGATCATCATCCACTGGACGTAAAACGTACAGCTTATTGCACCAGCAGCATCTGCTCTTATATAACTATCATTAGCTTACAGCTTTAAGCTTTTAAGGTGCTAACTAAAAATAAAGACAAGATGATAGTTTATTCAGTTTTAATGAAATTTGCAGATTGTTTCGGTAAAGTTTAATAAACTCCTTGCTATCTAAAATATAACAGGACACCGGAGTATATTCTCCAGCATCTCACACTTCTGATAATCAGCTGTCTGCTTGACGTTCATTCAGCTGTGTAAAAACTATAACTTTAATCTCAGCCAATCCGATTTGCTCAGGAACAAATAAAATACAAAAAAAAAAAAAAAAAGCCAAACAACAACATTTTTAATTTATCTAAGTGACTCATATATATTTAACCTGAGTAGCGAAAGACGGCGGTGGGTTTGAAAACAATTTGCCGGGAGTCCGGTGTTCTAACGGCGCTAGTGACCTAGCCCCCGGCTAGCTATCGAGCTAGTGGGTAACAGACGTCTCCGAAAACGTCGGAGCGCTTTTGAAAATATGTGGTGTCCTGATAAACTGAGCCGATATTTGAGGTTTACACAGCTACATTCTCGTCTGAAAATATGTTAAACGTTTATTTTGTGACCCAGAAAGAATAATAAAAGTAATATTAAAACTAACTAGCTACCGCCATTGTTGGAAACTAAGCTGGGCCGTGCTATGAATTCTGGGACACAGCTGCTTCTTCTTCTTCTTCGGGGTTTAACGGCAGCTGGCATCCTTGTACATGCAGTGCTGCCATCTTCTGTTTCAGTCCGTTATTACACTCTTAAATCCTGCTACTTATTCCTGCGTCTTTTGTGATCTTACAAAGCTTCAAACGACGCGTCGACTATTAAATCAGTCGTCGACGATTTTGATAGTCGACGTAATCGTGACTAGTCGACAAATCGTGGCAGCCCTAATCTATACACACACACACACACACACACACACAGTGTGAAAAATAGTAATCAATACAAGGGATGGCTATTTTAAAGAATCTAACATTTTTAAGAATCTAAAATCTGAGTATGTTTTGAGTTATTTAACATTTTTTTGTCTCCTAATTCCATATGTGTTCATTTGGAGTTTTGATGGTTTCAATTAGAATCTATAATGTAAAAAGTCATTATAAAACAGAAAAATCATGAGAAGGTGTGTCTAACCATTAGACCTGTGGCTTAGTCAGCCTGGCTACAGAGCTGTTCCTGTTTTCCTCATTTACTAAGATTTCATAACTTTATAGAGGGCTTTTTCTTGTTCAGGTCAAAAGAAGCATGAATTAGTCTTCAGTGTAGGTGTACTTATAAGTTCTTCCAGGGAGTCAAACTTCTCTGGTTTGTTGCCTTCTTTTTCAGAGCAGCCAAAGTGTGCAGAGGATGTAATACTATTTACAAAATACGCTATCAGAGATTATCAGAGGAAATAAAGCACAACTGTGTATCAGCTGTGAAAAATGTATCATGTGCAACACTAGAACATATTAATAGATACTTTATTATACAACATGTAGAGTGTGTAAAGGTTAAAAAAAAATCCAGGACCAAAAACTGATCCTTGAGAAGCTTATTTTCGGGAGGGTTAAAAACGGCTAATTTCATCCATCCATTGATTTAATGTAAGCAGGTTGAGAACATTATTTTTCTTCAGCAGTGATTTGTCTCTCATTTGGGATAAGCAGGCAAAATGTCACTGTGTACAGAATTAGATGTTATTATTATTATTAAAATAACAACCAATTAATGTCTGTAGAATAATGTTGGCGATTTTTCTTTGTCACCTTCAGTGAAGAACCAATGTTTCTGACTACAGGTGCTGAGATGCTCCTCCTGCAGACTCTTCGCCTGCTGCCAGTCGCCTGTGACAGCAAAAAGATTTTTATATTTAAGCCAGTTAAATTTATTGTATTATTATAAGGCACTACTGCAGACCATTGTATTGTGTAGCATTATTGTGCCTCGTACTAACATCACAAACCTCAGAATCAGAAAAACCTTATTAATCCCAGAGGAAAACTAAGTTTTCATAGCAGGAAATATACAACAAACAACATGCACTCACTGAGTGTAGAAACAGAGTTATGATGGATAAATACTGGATAGTAGGAACAAAAAGAAGGGGGGGGAGGGGGGCGCTTATGAAGACAGCTGCTACAACAGCCTGTGTTCCAGATCTACTGGCGTTTAGATCAACTGGCGTTGGTCGAACAGATGTGTGACAGTCTTGCGTTTCAGGAGCTGCTACCGACAAACCAGCAAAAGAAAAAAAAAAAAAAAAAGCCAAATGTCTTGATGTTGTTGAACAACAAAATGTTTAAAAATGTGCCGATGTTGTTTACGGGACAGCAAGAGTAAACGATCGGGAGACTCTTGTCGTCGTTATCGTTCTCCTCGTATGGTTTATTTCTCCGGTTTCAGCGTTTTTGCTCCACAACTACAGCGAGCAGTTTACTTTATGCACTAACATGGAGTCGAGTCAACCAGCGCCACCTCTGGCCAAGTGCCACAGCCTACAGCCAGATCAACTTGTGACACACATCTGCACCACGTCTGAATTCGTTTCATGCACAACACATTTGTACTAGGGCTGCCACGATTGGTCGACTAGTCACGATTACGTCGACTATCAAACTCGTCGACGACTAATTTAATAGTCGACGCGTCGTTTGAAGCTTTGTAAGATCCTGAAAGACGCAGGACTAAGTAGTAGGATTTAAGAGTGTAATAACGGACTGAAACAGAAGATGGCAGCACTGCATGTACAAGGATGCCAGCTGCCGTTAAACGCCGAAGAAGAAGAAACTGTCCCAGAATTCATAGCGCGGCCCAGCTCAGTTTCCAACAATGGCGGCACCTAGTTCGTTTTAATATTACTCTTATTATTCTTTCTGGGTCACAAAATAGACGTTTAACATATTTTCAGACGAGAATGTAGCTGTGTAAACCTCAAATATCTGCTCAGTTTATCAAGACACCACATATTTTCAAAAGCGCTCCGACGTTTTCGGAGACGTCTGTTACCCACTAGCTCGATAGCGAGCCGGGGGCTAGGCTAACTAGAGCCATGAGAACACCGGACTTCCGGCAAATCGTTTTCAAACCCACCGCCGTCTTTCGCTACTCAGGTTAAACATGATATACAAGTCACTTAGAGAACTTAAAAATGTTATTGTTTGGCTTTTTTCAGTATTTTATTTGTTCCTGAGTAAATCGGATTGGCTGAGATTAAAGTTATAGTTTTTACACAGCTGAATAAACGTCAAGCAGACAGCTGATTATCAGAAGTGTGAGATGCTCGAGAATTTACTCCGGTGTCCTGTTATATTTTAGATAGCAAGGAGTTTATTAAACTTCACTGAAACAATCTGCAAATTTCATTCAAATTTAATAAACTATCATCTTGTCTTTATTTTTAGTTAGCACATACCTTAAACACTTAAAGCTGTAAGCTAATGATAGTTATATAAGAGCAGATGCTGCTGGTGCAATAAGCTGTACGTTTTACGTCCAATGGATTCATGATCTGATTAGTCGACTAATCGCAAAAATAATCGGTGACTAGTCGACTATCAAAATAATCGTTTGTGGCAGCCCTAATTTGTACCCTTCAATTGTGTCTGTTTGTGCGTCATGCAAATAAACCTTTGAAATGAATGAAATGACCCTAATATTTCACTATTGTTGTAACATCACATGTCGTTAGCGTAGTCTGTCTGCGTCTTTTCTCTGCGAGCAAACATTTTAGAGTTGGTTGTTATATACAGTCTGTATAAGTGTGGTTAATCTAATAAACATTTGTAAGGAGATGGCAGTTACTGTGAATGTACAGCAGGTGATCAGTAATAAACAGTCAGACAATGACTCTGACAATCTCATTCAATCTTGCAGACTGAATGCACCTTCTGTGGAAAGTGGTACCACACAGTCTGTGTGGACTTCCCCTGTGCAGAAGGAGACTACAAATGTTGTGGGTGCTAAATAAACAGAAAAAAGTGATCCCTGTTGTCTTTGCTTACTGATTGTTTTTAGTGTTGACAATCCACATTGCTGGGATTGCATCTTTCAACATGTTTGTGGGTAGATTTGGATGTACCCGGGGTAAGTGCAGCCACTCAGCCTCTACTCACTGTGATCATAGCAGCAGGTGCAGATGTGTCACAAGTTAATCTAGTAGTAGGCAGGCTTTGGCACTTGGCCACAGGTGGCAGCAGTGGACTGACCTCCATTTGAAACTGGTCCAGCTGCTGTGTGATAGTGGATCTGCTACAAATTGAAGATCATAAGCAAGTTTTGGAAATGAACCCTTGTATTATGTTGAAGAACAAAAAAATGACATTGATTTTGTTGCGGGTCACTTGGTGTTCGCTTGCTCTGCGGTAGAGTATCACTTCCTGTTCCTGCTCAAACACAGTGGTGTTTCTGAGTAGCTTATTTGCCTAGCAATTTAATTAACAACTTTTAAATACATTCTTCTTTCATAGTATAATCTTCACGTGCTTCATCCGAAGCACACTTTCTGTGTACTCACTACCTAATTTATAGCCAAAGTATTCACTCACTGTCTCTGTACTGTCTCGCTAGCTTAGCTTAGCTCGTAGCTGACTCATTAGCACCATGGCTACTTCACCTGTCCCTCCTGCACTTTCTTGCTCATTGTGTCAGATGTTTAGTTACTCCTCGGCCTCCTTTAGCAGTAATGATATCTGTAACAAATGTAGCATATTTGCAGCTCTGGAGGCCAGGATTACTGAATTGGAGACTCGGCTTCGCACCCTTCATTCACCCGTAGCTAGCCAGGCCCCTGTAGCTGGTGCAGCCGAAGATAGCGTAGGCCCCGCTAGCTGTTCCCCGGCAGATCCCAAGCAGCTGGGGGAAAGAGGGCGGCTGGGTCACGGTGAGGAGGAAGCATAGTCCTAAACAGAAGTCCCAGGTACACCACCAACCCGTTCATGTGTTTAATCGTTTTTCCCCACTCGGCGACACACCCGCCGGGGGTCAAACTCTGGTAGTTGGCGATTCTGTTCTCAGACATGTGAAGCTAGAGACACTGGCAACCATAGTCAATTGTCTTCCAGGGGCCAGAGCAGGCGACAATGAAGGAAATTTAAAACTGCTGGCTAAGGGTAAACGTAAATTCAGTAAAATCATAATTCACGTCGGCAGTAATGACACCCGGTTACGCCAATCGGAGGTCACTAAAATCAATATTGAATCGGTGTGCAACTTTGCCAAAACAATGTTGGACTCTGTAGTTTTCTCTGGTCCCCTCCCCAATCAGACCAGGAGTGACATGTTTAGCCGCATGTTCTCCTTAAATTGCTGGCTGTCTGAGTGGTGTCCCAGAAACGATGTGGGCTTCATAGATAATTGGCAAACCTTCTGGAGGAAACCTGGTCTTGTTAGGAGAGACGGCATCCATCCCACTTTGGATGGAGCAGCTCTCATTTCTAGAAATATGGACAAATTTATAAACAAACAACTTAAACATAAACAATTACAAAGAAAGAACAATACAGTATCCACATCTGAACCAAAGAGTAAAACAGTGAAATGTGGATTATTAAATATTAGGTCTCTCTCCTCCAAGTCTTTGTTAGTACATGACTTAATAATTGATCAACAAATCGATTTACTCTGCCTTACAGAAACCTGGTTGCAGCAGGATGATTATGTTAGTTTAAATGAATCATTCTAACTACCAGAAATCTCGAAGCACAGGCCGAGGGGGGCGGTGTGGCAGCAATTTTTCCACACCAGCCTATTAATTAATGAAAGACCAAGACAGACTTTTAATTCATTTGAAAGCCTGATGCTTAACATTGTCCACCCCAGCTGTAAAACTCAGAAACCAGTCTTACTTGTTATCATCTATCGTCCACCTGGGCCTTACACAGAGTTTCGGTCTGATTTCTCAGACTTTATATCTAATTTAGTTCTGAGCTCAGATAAAATAATTATTGTGGGTGATTTTAACATCCATGTAGATGCTAAAAATGACAGCCTCAACATGGCATTTAATCTGTTATTAGACTCAATTGGTTTCTCTCAAAATGTAAAAGAACCCACCCACCACTTTAATCACACTCTAGATCTTGTTTTAACATATGGCATAGAACCTGAACATTTAACCGTGTTTCCTGAAAACCCTCTCCTGTCTGATCATTTCCTGATAACATTTACATTTACAATAATTGATTACACAGCAGTGGAGAGTAGACGTTTATCAGAGTAGATGTCTTTCTGAAAGCGCTGTAACTAAGTTTAAGAATATAATCCACCCACTGTTATCATCTCCAATGCCCTGTACCAACACAGCAGAGCAGCTATCTGAACGCTACCCCAACAGAGGTCGATTATCTTGTTAATAATTTCAACTCCTCACTACGTACGACTCTGGATACTGTAGCTCCTGTGAAAACTAAGGTCTCTAATCAGAAGTACCTGACTCCGTGGTATAATTCTCAAACACGTACCCTAAAGCAGATGACTCGTAATCTGGAGAGGAAATGGTGTGTCACAAATCTAGAAGATCATCATTTAGCCTGGAGAAATAGTTTGCTGCTTTATAAGAAAGCCCTCCGCAAAGCCAGAACATCTTACTATTTGTTATGGCCCTAGCTGGGCCTCCTGATACTGCCCTTGTGTGGGCGTGGTGTTTTTCTACGCCTCCTCCTCTTTTGCTCCACCCCTCTGTCTCTCTCTTGCTCTCTCTCTCTCCCCAGGACACAGCTGCTGCTCATTGGACTCACTTACCACCTGGGCCCAGTCAGCAATCACCTCTCTGAGGTCATATAAGCTGGGGATGAGCTGTGAGCAGGGTGTGGGGTGTCTCTGCTTGGTGTGTAGGTAGCCTGCCTGA